GGGGTTGGGGGGGAGTGCAGGAGAAAGATTCTCAGCATGGTGTTTTGCTCCAGGTTTAGGGTTACCTCTCTGCAGCCCTGCCCACAAATAGAAAAGCTATTTAAATACTGCACATCTAGAACAGTATTGTTTTGATGCCGTGTACAGCCCTGAAGCTCTTGGGCATCCCACTAAACATAAAATGTGTATTTTTATGAGCAGTTTCCACAAAGGAATATAAATGGGTGTTTGAGTCAACATACCTTGCGAGCGATCCTTCAGCGCTCCATAACAGCCCTCTCCAAACCAGCTTAAAAATGTGAAGCTCTTTACGGAACGAGGCGGGTTTCATTGTGAAATATTAGTTTTTTATTACTTCTAGTAAACAGCCAAGTTTAAAGGGGGGGAAATCCCAGTGCGTGAGATGGATTTTCAATAAGAGAGGCAAAGTGTTGTGTTGTTCTCTATTAGATTCTGCAGAAATCAATCTGAAATCTGGTTCAGGCTACTAAAATTAGATCTAAAACTATTTAATTTGGTTTCAAGAGTGTTTTCCCCTTTCCATCGCCTAGCCTGAAGACACAAAGAGATAAAATACCTTGAGTTATTATCACTTTATGGGCACCTCCATCTCTGAGCGAGGATTATACAGTATTATGTATTTTTCAGTAGTTTGGCTTGAGCTCTATTAGCGGTCCACAAATACCGTGTTTTCTGCCAAACCTTTCAAGGTGTTTGACCATTCATTTACTTTCCCCTTCTCTCCCTCCCCCCATCCTCTCTCTCTGGATATATGAAAAATGAAACATAACTTAAGTTCATTAAATGTTAGTTCCTTTTGAGGGCAGAGTGTAATTGACCTTGATTGTATAATGGACATATCAAGGTTACAAGGAAAGGGTCAGGCTTGCTGCGGTGGATAAGGTTACTCTACAGCAGAACATGGTCAGCATATGACCTGCAGGCCAGATGTGGCCTATGAAGTAAACTCCTCGCACGCCTAACCAAATTTCAATCTGACGTTAAGGAAAAGACAGTTGTTTT